ATTTCTGACCTGACAGTATACAACAACAACAATATACCTAGTGGTGCTACAGCTCTGGCGGCCTCATGGTTAAGAAGCTGTGCTGCAGTCTCAAAGACACATGGTTGGTTATCTACCAGCTACTCTGTGGATGGGCAAGAATGGACAGTCTTCTCTTGTGCCATTTACTACCTCTGAAAACCTGCTGAAGGGTCAGTTATGGGTCATTTCTGACTCCACGGCACACAATAGTGGGACTGTAGAATTACCACCTTTCTAAGGAACCACTAATCTGCTTTCCATAGTTGCTGTACGATTTTACGTTTTTACCAGCAGGGTCTGAAAGTTCCAATCTCTCTATACCCTAGCCTGCATCTGTTGTTCAATATCTTATTAAATATTGCTATTTTCACTGAAGTGAAACGATATCTTGTTGTTTTGATTTGCATCTTTCTAATAACATTAATCCTGAGCATTTCTTCATGTGTTTGTTGGACATGTGGATGTCTTATTTGGTGAAGCACTCATTCATGTCCTCTGCCCGTTTTATAAATGGGTAGTTTGTCTTTTTCCTTGTTTTTTTAACTTCTAGAGATGAATCCCTTGTCATACGTCCTGTACACATGTATATTTAAGTAGGCTTTGTGATAAAGAGGGCTCTATGGTGGCCTAGTGGATGAGGAGCTGTGTTGCCAACCCAAATGCAGGCTGTCTGAATTTACTGGCTGCTCTACGGGAGAAAGATGGGCAATCTCCTCCCCTGTGATTCTACATAGGTTCTGAAAACTAAGGTTCTGAAAACTCGATGGAAAGACAGCAATGAGTTGGTTCTGATTCTACAGCAATGGGAATGACTGAGTGAGTTATGTTACGGAGATGTTTTCGGTTTATAGACAAATTGAGGAGAGTAGAGAAATTTCTCAGATATTTTCTAGCCTATGTACATGATTTCTCTCATCAACAGCTAATACTCAGGTGATACATTTATGAAATTGAAGAAGTAATAATGATACAGCATTACTAGCTAAAGCACTCAGGGTACTTTAGGGCTCATTCTTTGTATTGTGTACCAATTTTTTAGCTGTAAACTGGTTCTCTCCACTATAGTATTCTGTCTTTAAGTTTTAAATAGATATACCCTGCCTTTTGGTCTAATTTTTTTTAAAAAGGGACATTTACATCTATCTGTAGTGAATCATGTTTTCAGCATAAAAAACTTGGATGTAGAATAATCTCTGATAAGTTTTGATGACACTCGACTCAGAGTCCCTTGGATGTGACAGTGGATTTTGTCCTAATGGAGGGTTTTGCAACCCCTCTTGGAAGCAAGATTATTCTACAGCCACTTTTGCCTTGAAAGCTTTGTATATAATATTTTGAGCCTGTTTTAGATCCTAACTAGAAGTGTGCTGGAGGAGTTAAAGCTGTTGTCACTGGGAGAGATGGTCAGTGAGTCCCAGAGCCTCTCCACACCCTCATGTGCTACAGAGCTTTAAATTCTTCTCTGTGTATAGGTCTGAGCTGACCAGCCATTAAAGGTTAACACTCATTAATATTGATATTGAGCACCAAATCAGTTTAGCTTGCTGGAAATTACTAGAATTTATATTCGTCATTCATTCATTTGATACACATTGATTAAGTGCTAGAAGGCCTGTGCAAGGCAGCATGCTAATTCTGGGGAAACATGGATAACTCAGATGTGGTTCCTGTTCTTAAGAAGCCCACAGACACATAAGTAGCAATAGATAATGTGTGAAGCGGAATAATAGAGGAATGAATGTATATAGTACTGAAAACATGACAGCCTATGTAGATATGAACTAGATAGTGATGTATTGTGAAGAATATAAGAGGATACATATTTGATTGATGCTAGAGATTGGGAAGAGAGCTCCAGTGGCCTAGAGGACAGGAAGCTACAATGCCAACCCAAAGGAAGGCAGTTCAAATCCATCAGATGCCCCTAGGGAGAAAGATGGGCAATATTCTCTTGTGTAATTTATAGCCTCTGAAAACCCAGTGGAAGGTGAGCAATGAATTGGTTCTGACTTGAAGGCAGAACACTTCCTGACACACAAAAACCCACTGCAGTAGCCACCATGGCAAAAGATGTATTCACGAAAGAGTTGTAAGCAAGGAGAAAAGGCATTTTGATGACACAAAATATTTTGGGACAAGGGTTGTTGTTGTTGTTGTAGTTGTTATGTACCATCGAGTTGCTTGCGACTCATAGCGACCCTATGTACAAGAGCCCTAAACGCCATTCTATCCTGTGCCAAGCTCACTGTCTCAAACAAACTCATTCCCACCACTCCATTCACAGAATCGATCCATCACGTTGAGGGTCTTCCTCTCTTATGCCATCCCTTCACTCTTCTAAACATGACATCCCTCTCCAAGGACCAGTCCCTCCTTGCAACATGCCCAAAGTATGTCAGACGAAGCTTCAGAATCCTTGATTCCAGGGAACATTCTGGCTTCACCCTCTCCAGGACAAACCTGTTTGTTCTCTTAGCAGCAGTCCATGGTATATTCAACACTCTTTTCCAGCACCACAGCTCAAAGGCATCAATTCTCTTTCTATCATTCCTATTCACTGTCCAACTCTCCGATGCATAACACGTAATTGCAAAGACTGTAGCCTGGATAAGGCGCACCTTAGTCTCCAGCCTGATGTCATTGTTCTTCAGTGCTCTTGAGAGGTCCCTCACAGCTGACTTTCCCAATGCAATTCATCCCCTGATTTCCTGGCTGCTGTTACCAACAGTGTTGACTTTGGAACCAAGTAAACTAAAATTGTTAACTATCTAAATTTCTTCACCATTGATACTGATGCTGCCAATTTGCCCAGTGGTGAGAATCTTTGTTTTCTTGATGTTGAGCTTCAATCCATATTGGAGACTGCAGTCCTTGACCTACTGCAGCAAGCACTTCACGTCCTCCTCAGTTTCAACTAGCAAGGTTGTGATATCTGCATAACGCAGGTTGTTGACGATTCTTCCACTAAACCTGATGCCACATTCCTCCTCGTACAGCCCAGCGTCTTGGATGATCTGTTCTGCATACAGATTGAAAAGGTATGGAGACAAAATACATCTCTGACGGACACCTTTTTTGATTTTGAACCATCCAGTGTCTCCCTGCACTGTTCTGATGACTGCCTCTTGGTCCAAGTATAGGTTTCACATTAGCACAATCAAATGTTCTGGGATTCCCATTCTTTTCAGAGTCAGCCATAGCTTGTTGTGATCCACACAGTCAAAAGCCTTTGCATAGTCAATGAAGGACTGATAGACATTCTTCTGGTATTCTCTGCTTTCTGCCAAGATCCATCTAACATTAGCTATAATATCCCTAGTACCATGACCTCTTCTAAATCTAGCCTGCACATCTGGTAGTTCTCTGTTGACATATTGCTCCAAACGTTTTTGGATAATTTTCAGCAGAATGTTGCTTGCATGTGATATCAATGATATTGTTCGATAATTTCCACACTCTGTTGGGTCACTTTTCTTTGGAATGGGAACAAATACCGATCTCTTCCAGTCAGTTGACCAGCTTGCTGTTCTCCAGATTTCTTGGCACAACTTAGTGAGCACATCCAGGGCAGCGTCTGTTTGTTGAAATAAATCAATTGGTATGCTCTCAACTCCTGGAGCCTTGTTTTTTGCCAATTCCTTCAGAGCAGCTTGAACTTCCTCCTTCATTACCATAGGCTCTTGCACATATGTTATTTCATGAAATTCCTCTGTGTCAGCCAATTCCTTCTGAGTACACAGTGACTCTGTGTACTCCTTCCATCTTCTCTTGATACTTCCTGGATTGTTCAACATTCTACCCAAACTATCTTTAAGTATTGTCACCCATGGCTTGAATTTGTTTTTCAACTCCTTCAGCTTAAGAAATGCTGAGTCTGGCCCTTTTGATTTTCTGACTCCAGCTCTCTGCACATTTCATTATAGTATCTTGCTTTGTCATCCTGAGCTGCCTTTTGAAATTTTCTGTTCAGATCTTTGATTTCTTTATTTCTTCCTTTAGCTTCAGCTTTTTGGAGCTCTAATGCAATACTCAGAGCCTCATCTGACAAGGGTGGCAAAGGAAAAGGGCTGGGGGTTCCACCAACTTAAAGGAAAGAAAAAACTTTCAGGAAATAGATGAACTCGGTCTGAGGTACATTCATATAAAGGTACCTGGTGGGAAGCTGAAAACTCAGAGGTGAGGTTTGGCCCAGAGATAAAAATGGGGAGCAGTGAGAGAGAACCTGCCTCCATTCAAGCCGATTTATCCTTTCAGTACCAAGATTATAACCAAATCGTCCTTCTCCACCCACTGGCCCTTTGTTTCCTAGTGAACAGTAGTGAACCAGCACAAGGATGCATATTCCCTTTCACAGATGCAACACATCTAGAGTCAGACACACACAATCCCTAATATTACAGAGGAACACACTCGCAGACACTTGTAACCAACGTAGAAGGGGGTATGTAGAGGTCCACAGACACCCCCCCCAATACATCCTAGAGGAACCCAATCATCCATACAGGTCCACGGATCACAAAAGCACACACACACATATACATGGGTTTGTAGATCCTAGAGGCACTGAGACACATGTGCAGGTCCATAGATCACAAAAGTACACACAAATACATACATGACCATAGAGCTTAGAGGTGCATACACACTGCAGTTCACAGATCACAGAGGCACGCGAGTACACACACACACACAGAGGTCCACAGATCACAGAGGTCCACACACATATACACACACTCTGATAATCTGCCCTTGCTGAAGAGAGCAACACCATCCACCACTATCCCCTTGCAGAAGCCATTCATTTAAAGCATATTTCAAATGGACAGCTAGGCTCCACGGATCTGTCATCTGCACGCTATCCACTCATACTCTATTGTAAGGGACTGCTGTGAACGGAGAACGGCTCCTTTTAACTCGGAGTAAGTGATCCTCCACCTGTAGATCAAAGACTTCCAGTGCAACATTCACCCTCCTCCTACCAAACAGCTTCTGCAGCACTTGTCCATCATATAAATCTTCAGCCAGGTCTTTCACGATGATTCTCTCTCCAACCAGCACATCATTAATCCAGTCAATTAACACCTACAGAGGAAGAATCAGAGAAAAGTCATAGGGCATTTTCTTAGTGATCACTTTTCTTATGCTGGACAGTAAAAATCTAAATGCATTTCAAAAGCAGCAGACCTATTCACGTAACCTAGTGTGTGGGCAGGGAGCTGAGTCTGGATGACTTGGACTTTATTTATTTATTACTGGTAGCACCAGTGTCCTTGCTAACGTCCTCCAACCTCTTACCCTCTACCCTAATGGCAGGCACATTCACAGTTGTTGGTGGTGTGGCTTAGTACCAGGCAAGGGTACACGCTCTGCAGTTATAGAAATCAGCATTGGTAGAACAGATCTACCCAATTCACTACAAACCCCAGGGCAAGCTATTTCTCTGCTCTCAGCCTTTGATGGTCCACGTCAGAAACTGAAGGGAAAACTACTTCTCACCTTAGCTGGTGAAAAAGAATTCCCGATGGCCAGGACCGAACACTCAACAAAAGGCAGATTTCATTTAAAAAAATAAAACACTCATTATCACCCTTGAACCTTACTGTGACTGGTGAGGTGGTTACTACCATCGTCATCCTCATGCGGAGAAACAAAGTGCAGAAAAAAAGAGATTTCTTCCAAATCACAGCTTCCACTGTAGGCAGAGACCGGGACTGAACCAGTCCATTTCACTCTAGGTACATGCTCTCCTCACTGGCTCTCAGTGGGGGCCAACTCTCTTCTCGTCCAGCCTTTCTGATATTTTCGGGTGCCCCGAGTCACTTCTAACTCCATCACCCCATATGCCCTCAAACAACAGTAACCACCTCATATTCCAGAATACAACTGCCCCATAATGTTTTCTTGGTTGTAATCTTCAAAGAATCACATTGCTAAGTCTTTCTTCTACAGAGATGCTGGGTGGGTTTAAACCACTAATCTTACAGTTAACAGCCAAGTGCTTAAGCATTATGCCACCAGAGTTCCTTTCTCTATCCCTGACGTTATCTGCAAGCCCATTGGGCACTGTGCTATCTCAATTAATCCACGCAACAACACAGCAGCAGGTATTATTAGTTCTAATTTTCAGGTGAGAAAATAGAAGCTTTCCTTTTTCTGTTTTCCTCTTTTTTAGAATTCATTAAGGTATTATTTACATACAATAAAATAAACCAACTTAAATATACAATTTGATGAGCTCTTTCACCCGAAAGTGTTTCCTTGGGCCCCTCTGTAATGATTCCCTCCTCTGGTAACTTGCCTTGTCTACAGTTTGATACAAATGGACTCACATGGTCTCTAGTCTTTTGTGCTTAGCTTCTTTCATGTTGCCGTCACAGCACAGGCAGTAAGCATGCTGGGCTTCCACTCTGGCTGGGCTGCCAGCAGCCTGAGGCTTCAAGGCACTTTGTTCTGCTGTTCAAAAGGCTAGATCATGGTAATAACTGAGAAACCTACTATACACCAGGCACTGCCTCCAATCCCATACTCTTACTACAGCCTGTGTCTCTAAGAACTTTTCAGGACAGAAGAGCCTCTGATTAAACAGTTACAACATATAAGACTCAAGTCTAGGAGTGGGAGGTTCATGGCTGTAGATGAGTAAAGGAGAGACCCCACAGAGGCGGTGAGAGGACAGGAGGGAGCGAGAATGAGGCAGGACTTCCTGGAACATTTTGACGAAGATCTTAAAGGAAAACAAAGAGTTGACATGGACTTCAAAAGGTCAAAGTAATTTAGTCCTGGAACATCTTAACTTCTCCTGGAAGCCAGGTGGTAGGTAGCTTGTGCTTGGATGCCGTGCCCTTGGACAGCATCTGGTGTCCGGGCACAAGAGCAAGGGCAACATCTCCAATCTTCCACTTCCTCAATGGACCATGTCAAAGCCAGAACCATTCAGAGCAACTCTCTGCTCCTTAACCCAGCATGCGAGTGCTGCCTGACTGACACACACATAGGCTGTGCTCTCTCCTAAAACCCATGCCACACATGCCCTGACCGTCAGGGAACAAGGCACAGGCAGAGTTCAACCCATACAGTCTTCTTCCTGGAGTACAACACGAGGGCCTAGGGCCTTATTGAGATGGGACACTCCTCTGTGAGTGCAGAATGGCCTGTTTCAGGAAAAGAATGGTCCCCAACATTCACAAACAAATACATTATGTTCAGTGAACATTCATATGTTTCCTTGAATATTCATTCTCTCCTGCACTCAGCTATAAGCATCATGTAACCTTGACTTGTGTGGGGCCTCCGTTTCCTCATTTCATTCCTATTACAAAGGATGTTTTGAGGATCCTTGAGAAAAATAAGTCAAGGCTTTGTGAACCTTAAACTTCTGGCGAGTATGATCTTAGATGGACTGAAGTCCCTGGCATGGGTGTTGGGCACTGGGAATTTGCCATGTATATTATTGGATGATGAGTCCAATTTTTAATAAATATATACTTGCTGGTCCTCTTGAGCTACCTCAAGACAGGGGAATGCCAATGCTTTCATGCTCTTGACCTTCACACAGGCTGGGCACCCTATGCAGTGGCTCACCTGCTGTCTGCAACACAGAAGGTCTCCAGACGCCCGCTGAGCTAGTAAAGCACCGGGACACCAACCACCCCCAACCACCAGTTGCTTTTGGGTTAACTGCAACTCCTGGTGACCCCATGTGTGCAGGGAAGAACTGCTCCACAGGGTTTTGGAAGCAGATCACCAGGGCCTGTCTTCTGAAGTGACTTTGAACTGTCGACTATTTAATCAGTATTTAAGTACTCAACCAATTTAGCCAGCCAAGGACTCTGTAAGGGGCCTGAATGCCTCCCCCTTCCTTCATACCTTCATCAGTTCTTGTAGTTTGGGGTCACTGCGTGAGTTTGGATCCACCATTGTTCGAACTTCATTCTCCTCTTTAAAAAGAAAAGGAATTCAGTGAGATGGTTACACTTGAGGGCATGAACTCAAGTCCAAGGAGGTAAGAGACATTTACCCAGCATCGTGTCCTCGGGGTCCAGCTCGAAGGGAATCGGGCTGAGGGGCAGGTTGATGGCATTCATCCCTTCCTCCTGAAGCTCGGACACTGTGGAGACAAGGAAGAGCCGAGTCACATTTCAGTGACTGATGACAGGGGAATTGGTTCTCTGTAGCAAATGTGTCTGTTATCAATACTGAAAAATAAGAACCACTACAGTCAGATTCCAGCTGTTTGTCTGCAATCGATTCCCCAGCCTCTCTTTACTAAAAGGACCTAATCATCCCTTTAATCTCACCTCTTACAACTGTCACCTCACATGCTTTCCTCAAGGAAATAGAAAGGTCTCAAAAAAGGCTAAAATAAGTCTCCTCTGGAAAACTATCTGGGGACAAATGACACTGGCTTCTTTCTTCAGCCTCTGTCTCCTGCCTCCCCTCTTCCAAGGCTTCCAGCTGAAGCCCAATATCTGTTTGTGGACTGAGTAAATGAGGTCACCAATTTAAGGCTCTGTCATAAGCCATTTTGACTCCTTATTCAACCCTGCTCCAATGTCTGAGGTATTTCTGGATTATTCTGTGTCATTTAACTCCAGCTTCTGTTCAAGAATGTCTGAGTCCTAGATGCCTCCTTAGGCACTATCCCTTTAGTTCAAGTGAGTGGTAGGACCCTGATCTCTCCTTTCTAGGCATGTGTCTGCATCTGAGTGGCAGTTCTCAAATCCCACTGGTGCTGTTTTGCTTGCAGAAATACAGAAAAGAAAAAAAGAAATAAAGCAACTTGAAACTCTTACTGCAGAAGATCACAGACTACAGCCTTCAATACAGGTTACACCTCAACACCAAGAAAACAAAAATCCTCACCACTGGACCGACAGACAACATTTAGAAAGGCGGAGAAAAGGCTGAAGTTGTCAATAACTTCACTTTACGTGGATATACAATTAATACTCATGGTAGCAGCAGTTAAGAAATCAAAAGACGTGGTGCATTAGGAAAATATGTAGTCAAAGATGCCTCAGAAATTCTAAAGAGTAAGGATGTCAGTTTAAAGACTAAGGTGTATTTGAGCCAAGCCATGGCATTTTCATTTGCTTTCTGTGCATCTAAAGGTTGGACAACGAAGAAAGAAGACTGAAGCTTTGAACTGTGGTGTTGGTGAAGAGTACCGAATATTCGATGGACTGCCAAGAGAACAAAAGTGTTCCTCAGAGGCAAGAAGGTGACCCTTCATCTCAACTTTCGCTGGTGATATTCTCAGAAGGAACCAATCCTTGAAGAGAGACATCATGCTGGGAAAGGTGGTAGGTCAGAGGAAGAAAGGAAGACCTCCAACAAAATGCATAGACACAGCGATGACCACCGAGGGCTTGAGTGTGAGAACGATCATGTAGGATGATGTAGGATCATGAGGATGATGTGGAATAGGGAAGCCCAGTGGGGTGTTATGAGTATGTTATGAGTCAACTTGACAGCACCTAACAATAACAACATAAAAAAAAAACCACCCAAACAACATTGGTGTTATGTCACTCCACTTTGCAGTGACATAATGTGACAGAGTTAGAATTGCCCCGTAAGTTTCCTAGCCAGTAAAAGTTGTAAGAACAGATCCCCATGCCTTTTCCTCCACAGAGTCATTGGTGGATTTGAACCATCAACCATTTGATTAGCAGATGAGTGTTTAAGCATCGTACTGCCAGGCGTCCTTCAGGAAAACCAAACCCACTGCTGTCAAGCTGATTCCTACTCTTAATGATCCTCTCTCAGGCTTCCTGGACTCTGAATCTTTACAGGAGATCACCCATCATTCTCCCTAAATACACCTGGTGGACTCAAACCGCTGACCTTTCAGTTAGCAATTGGACACATTCCATGCTATATTCTAGGGCTCCTTAGAACTCTAAAATACCATCTTTTGCAAGAAAAGTAAAACGAGTCAATGAATGACCACTAAAGCTGTCCAGCCTGCTCTTCTCCATACTCCCAACCCCCCTTATGAAGCCTCAGGAAAAAATAAATTCCTACCACAAGACCAGTTGTGTGACGGAAGCCTGGTGAGTGCTGACCTTGGATTACCCCTCCTAAAAGCAGTGACTTAAATCCCCCTCAGTCTCGGTGACTCCAGTTTGGATAATTACTTTTCGCCAATTAAGTGCAGAAAAGCCATTTGCTCTGAAGGCTTTGGTCGCCGAAAGGTTCTTAAAGGGCTCATACGGCAGCTGCAATCAACCTTCAGAAAAGCAACGTCCCATCTTTCCATTTTATTTTTTTATTGCCTCTGGCCTCACCAGTTGCCAGCATCTACTTGCAAGAACTCTCCAGCACAAGGCAGCCACTGACAAAGAGTTCTTTCACATTCGCAAACTCAGTGATACTTGCAGTTGGACAGGGAATGAGATTGCCCAACAAAGAGAGCGAAACACAGTCTACCCGACGGAGACACAAGCCACATTATGAAGCTGGCATTTAGTCATGTCGCGGTGACCCTTTGACATTTCTATGGGCTATTAGCCCATCACCATCGTGAATCCTCAAATTCACAGACACACTCCATTTCCCCAAACCCTTCTCATACGATATAACTGAAAATACAAGCGATGTCTTCAACACCTAAATGATACTAGAAATATAGGATTCTGTGTCTTTTCTAGCTTAGAACAATTACTTCTTTAAACTGGTATAATTTTTTTTCCTCATCTCCCTTCCAAAACAGGCAACTGACTTCTTTTCCAGGCAATTTTTCACAAGGAAAGCAAAGTTTTCACTACTTAGCAAGCACTGCTGTGCAGGCAGCAGGCACCGGAAACACAGGAGAGCTTACACGGGCGTGCAGGGCTGCGCTAAGGCTTGCCGGTGAAAAGACTTGCTTCTGTAGGGGGCCTGCCTTCCCCTATCTACACTCTGCCCCGCCGCCTGCAGCTCATACAGTAGGCCCTCAACACGTGTGGCTGTGTAAATTTAATGGCACTAAATAACCTTCAGCTTAAAATCCAGATCCTAAGTTGTACCACCTACATTTCAAAAGTCCACATGTGAGTGACTACTGCACTCACTCAATTCCTTGAAGCTAAGTTACAACCTACTCTTAGCTGAACTTCGAGCAGGTTTTTGAGAGGCTGTAAATTGCAGGGAAGGAGACTGCTCATCTTTCTCCCAAAGAGCGAAATGCCAGAGAGGGGTCACCTTTGGGTTCTCAGCACAACTGCCTACTTACTGCCTATGCCACCAGAACTTCCTGACTACTCCACTAAGTAGGATAAGACCTTTGGCCTTCCGCCGCATTCTGACTGATGACCATCTGCCAGGTTTCAGAGGCTGTAAATCTTTAGCAGGAGATGGCCCATCTAATGGGCAGCTGGTGGATTAAAACGGTTGATCTTTCTGTTAGGTGTTCAACACATCATGTACTATGCCACCACTGTAGAATACGTCACAGAAAAAAATCCACTGGATAATTCTGCCCAAGTGAGACCTTAAATCTTAACTCATGATATATACAGTTAAATCGTCAGCCCACAACTTCCACTGAGCTCCAAATTTATGAATCTGATCCCACTACTTGCTGGGTGGGTCAATGTTCCAGAAATTATTATGAAGGCGTTGGCCAAAACCAAGTCTACAAGAACTGACAGAAAGCCAGCTGAAATGTTTCAACAAAAGGATGCACCACTGGAAGTATCTACTCCTCAAGGCTAAGAAATCTGGAAGACAGTGACCTAGTCAACTGACTGGAACAGACACAAAGAAAGGTCTGCCAACTGTCTCTGAATGCGGAAATTATCAAACAACATCATTAATATCACACACAAGTGAGATTGTGCTGAAGGTAATTTGGAAAAGATTACAGTGGTACAATGTCAAGGAACTGCCAGAATTGTTGCTGGATACAGAAGAGAACTTGGTCTGATGAATATCATCGCTAGCATCAGACAGATCTTGGCTGAAATAAGCAAGTGTTAGAAAGATATTTACCTGTGTTTTACCGACTGCACAAACACATTAAACTGTGTGTGGGTCACAACGCATTATGGATAATGAGCAGAACTTGAATTTCAAAAATAAAATTGTGTTCATATACAATCTGTGCGTGTGTGAACAGAAGAGGGGTTACCATGTAGTTTAACATTAGGAAAGGTGTGTGTTAGAGTTGTATCATTTTATCATACTTGTTTACACTGAACAAATAATCTACTAAGGTGAACAATATGAAACACATGACATCAGGACTGGATGAAGAGAACATATGACATGGAGTTAACACAGTTCTACTAAAGGCTGATGACTTGAAGCATTACTGATAAAGATCAAAGTCTACAGCCTTCAGTATGGATTACATCCCAACATAAAGAAAAAAGAATCGTCATAACAGGACCAGTAAAGAAACATCATGATAAACTAAACAGACCATATACAGATACTGTCAAAGATCTAGTTTTACTTAAGTTTACAATCAATGTTCATGGGAGCTGCTGTAAAGAAACAAAACAATTTACTGCAACGGGTAAGTCTGCCACTAAGGACCTCTCTAAAATGTTAAAGAACAAAGATGACACTTTAAGGACTAAGGTGCGCCCGACTCCAGCCAATTCTTAAATATGTGAAAGATGAACAACGGATACAGAAGACTCAAGAAGAATTGATACATCTGAATTATGGCAATGGTGAAGAATATTGAAGACACAACGAACTGCCAAAAGAACGAACAAGTCTTGGAAAGAAATAGAAGAATGTTCCTTAGAAGCAATGATGGCAAGACTTTGTCTCAAGTACTCTGGACATGTTATCAAGATGGACTGTATCTGGAGGCAATCAAAGCTGGTAAAGCAGAGAGCCAGCAAACAGAAGACCCTCAATGAGATGGAATGACAGCAGCTTCAACAATGGGCTCAAATGTAGCAAGATTGTGAGGATGGCACAGGACAGGGCACTGCTTTCTTGTTTTGGCCTCAGGACTACTAGGGGTGGAAACCAACTTGACAATAACACAGTGTGACTGAGGAGTCCTGGTGGCACAGTGCATAAACACCCAACTGATAATGTAAAGTGTTGCCATTTGAACCCACCAGCTGCAGGCAGGGAGAAACGTGTGGCAGTAGACCCTCGTAG